AGGATGAAAAATACTGGCTTGTACATCAGCTGGCCATCTGAAGTCATTGTATTCGCCACGTACGCATAAAACTTCGTCCTTATCAGTCCTCGTTTTGGGATGCACCTACGAGCCTGAATGCAAGTCGAATGAAAACAAAATCCTGGTTTTTAATCAATCATCGCTTTGGAATGCGGGGCGCTTCCCAAAACGAGGATTGATGAAGACGAAAGTTTTATCCTTTATCCATTAGTTTTCACAAAAAAATCGTCAGAGTGTTCACCACTGATATGACTAGGTTGAAGGCAGATTTCGTTGAGAACACACAGTTTCAAACTGCAGGGGAGGAGGACTTCAGTCCTAAGGTTCTTGTGCAAAGTGAACGATGTATTCAGGTACTGCTTGCTACATTTTCAGATATTTGAAGATGGACGCAAGGTGACAACATTTTATGGCCTTCGGCAACAGTCTGGACGTGATCACGATCAACCACATATATGCATTAGCGATTTCATCAAGCCTCTTGAGAACGGTAGCGTTTCCATTTTCTTCCTATTTAATTAGATTCCTTTAAAATTATGTGTGTCCTCGCAACATCGTGAAAAATCGAATCTGTCGTCAGCGAAGAAGGTAATAAATTTTCTGACTTTGTTCTGTTCATTTGGTTATAATTGATGTATTCCGATTACATTCTCACTAATTAGTTTCAGGACAACCCACTGACTATATGGGATTGTTCGCCTGCAGTGCTGGTATAGGTGCTGAAGAGTACTGTAAAGAGCTGGAGAAGAATCATGATGATTACGCTAGCATCATGGTTAAGGTATGACCAATTTGAATGAGATGTGAGGTGCTTGGTGATCAAATGCTAAATAATGGTGGCTTTTAGGTCCATTCTGAGTCATGAGGGCTTTTGACTGAATAGTTTAGAAATTGTAGTCCATCTCCTTTTGGGCAGCCTGTTATGGCCCTGAGATTCTAGCGGCCTCTCCCGAGGGATCCTATCCAGCTCTGCTTTAATGGGGTTCCCTCAAGTTGAGGAGGATGAGGTCCTTTTGGCGTATGGATAACCGCTAGTGGCTTGCCAAGCTCTAACGTGGGGTTCTGGGCAGATTCCGGGTAGCTAGCCAGGCTATCCCAGAGGCCTGCTATATCTAGTCGAATCCCTATTCCCAATTGGTTCCAGTGGCATATCACCGAACTTGGAAGAAGTTGCACAAGACTTGATTTGTTTCATCGGACGTAATTTCACGGCTGTTTGATACCTTGCTTTTTTGGGTTTCAGGCGCATATAACTTCGTTATTTTTAGATTTTAGAGGCAGATGCAGATATCCAGGGGCAGGGCTTACCATATGCTAGACGGCAACATATTCGCATCAAAACTGCTCACCACCATGTTCTTTTTCAGTCAAAGACGAATGCACGAATGCATGGCGCACACTGATAAAATCTCGTGTAATTCAT